CTCTTTTCCTCGCTTTCCTTCGCTTTTAAATAGCTTAAAAGCGCAGTGCGCATTTTACTTTCACTTTTGAATTAGCGGCAGTTAGGCGTCAGTTGCTTGAATGCAACAACAAAATACAAAGTCAAACTCACTTTAGCCTATATATAAAACAGATCTACGTTTCTTATTTATTTGGTTATATATTATACATGTTTACTTACATAAAGTTTAATAGGTATACAAACTGGAAATAAGTAAACATGTATAATATATAACCAAATAAATAAGAAACGTAGGACGTTTATTAGCAAAACGAGTATGAAAGCTTGGAGGTAAATATAAATGACACAAAGTTTAAATAAAGTGAAAATCAGCAAACAATGTGGAACCAATTTAAATAAGAAACGAATGTTTAAAAAAACTTCCAAAATCACCTTAGATAAACGGCAAAAGTCAACAGGCTTTTCAAAATCCAAAATATTGCCAAACAGGCGCTTTTGCATCTCGTTTTGAAACTAAATCATCCGCGATTGTCTTGTCTGTCTCACCTCACTCTTCTTGTCAGTGAGCTCGACTCACTCTTCTCACTGGAGAAATGAAATCTGATCTGTGATGCGACTGTCGTTCAACTGCATTGAGCAGCCGCGTTCAGTTTTTAATTGTAGTGTCTGTTCTTTTACTGAACTAAATGATTTTTATTACTATAAAAAATCAAAACGACGGTGGGGGTCGGTGACGCGGTGGGCAAGTGACGTAACCGGTATTGCGGCTTAACCGTATCACCATCAGCACTGTCTATCGCGGCAAGCCTAATACACAATTGTAACTGAAACCTCAATTCATGCGTGCATATGTTTTATTTTTGAAACAGTTTTTGACCTTGTAGTGTTTAATCATAATTTCATAACTGGGCTTTCCGATGAATAGGCGATTCATCTGCGATTATGAACGTGATATTGTGTAGCTTGTCAGTGAACTACGGCTTTGTGTAGTAAATGCTGCTCCATCTGAACGCACGTGATGGAGATTTACTACTAATCACAGAACCGGCTTTACTGAGGAGATGCACATAACAATCGCATGCGATTTATCGTGCAGCCCTATATCACATCACATTTTTATGCTTTTTTCAGGATCTTGTACCACATGTGGAACAAAATTAGATTTTTTGACACATTTTTTGTATGCTTGTTACTGATTTTCAATTGATATGAACTATTTTGATAAGCTGGAAAAGTCCCACACTTAATGTACTTTAATGATCAATCATTGCTGTCACTTCTGAGCACTTGTGCCCATCCCTGTTAGAAAGGGAAGAGATGGCTACCAATTGCCATAGCCCATGTTTTAAAAGCCAGTAAAGTGATTTTTTTTTTTCTCTGTGTATGTTTAAATATTGATATGCACATGTTTGTTTTGTTTTACTTTTCCCTCATGGCAGGCTTGTTCTGCGAAACCAGTGGCTCACTCAGAAGTGGTATCAAGTGGATTTTCTGCAAAATATCTCAGCTTTGGGATTTATAGGGAGCTTATCTGAAGTCGTGCTGGCTTACCTGCATCTAATTTAAAAGAGTCACGCTATAAGAGTGTCAGCAGTGTCTAACGTTGACAGTGGAAACATACAGATCCTAAAATGAATCAAAGGCATTGTCACTGGCTGACAAAGCGACCTGTTTATAATGCAAACAAAGCGTTTTTTTGACTGCATACGAAGACAGGTCAGCAGAAACTGCTGCAGTTCACTTTTGCACTCTGCTCACCTCAAGATGTAACCAAGATTAGTTGGTGGAAGGTCATGAAACTGAAAGTTATTTTTTTCTAAAGGCGCTTTTCCACTGCATGGTACGGCTCGGCTCGGTTTGCATTTTCACTGCGGTTTAGTACCACTTTAGAGTGGGCGGGATTATAGACATGTTGTTATAGTTGCGCCGCCTCTACTGCCGCGACCTCCTGAAAAACGTTTTCATTCTGCATCGTCCCATCAAGCTCTCGCTGGATCCGCTCCTTGGCTATCAACGAGAGGAACGTCTGTACTTCCTCAACAGTCCACGAAACAGCCATTATTTTGTTGTTTAAAAAAGGTTGTTTATTGTTGTTTATGCAAGTTTAAAGCTTACAGGCTTCCGTACACCGGCGCCCGCAGCGTCTTCTGGGATTTCTAACGGCTCGATTCTCTCAAGTCTGCACTCGATGCATCCTCGATATCAAGAACACATCCGGGCACTTTCATGCGTCTTCTGTACTTGCGTTCTTGAGAATTGGAATTGGACTTCGACGGTTAATGATGACATAGAACGAGAACACAAGGACGCAAGATCACTGAAGAACGCATATTGAGAAACGGCCATTGTCTCGTGTCGCAAGTTTAATGGGAGTGGCGATTCTCTCCAGCCAATCAGTGATCAGCAGGCTTTACACGTCAAATTTTGGTAACGGTACAGCTTGCTTGGAACCTCAGCCAAGGTGGTACTGAAAAAAGAACCAGATACCAGTGGAAACCCCCCCCCCACATCAAAAGCGAGCTGTGCCTTATGAGACTTACGTTTTAGACACTATATTGCCTGTTTTTGCTTTATTTTGCCAACAAAAAAATTCCAAACACAGCCACAGTGCTGTTTTGCTTCTCTGTGCAAAATGACGGCGATTTGTTCCTGAATGAATCAACCGTTTAAATGATTCGGTTCAATTGCAATGGCTCACTTCTTAACAGTGACTTGCTGCCATCTGCTGGCGGTTTTAATTTCACATTTAAAGTATCTTTTCGTTTTTAAAATAATTGTAAATATCAGTATTCAATGTTTTATGTTTAAAATAACAAAATATTATTTATGCATTTGTAACTGTAGGTTAAATGCATTCATGTCCCTCTGTGTGGGAAATTCAGCCCATGCAGCTTCTGTGTTTCCTCTGCATTGCAAAGATGAATTTTGATGCTGATATCATTTGTTTGGTAACAGCCCACATGTCTTTTATTCTAATTGACTGATTAAATGTAAGAATTTGACTCAAAAGATGATGCACACTTTTAGAAAAAAAGGGTATAGGGACATTTAAGAGGGTTTATTCTCCAAATAACTCTTTCATGTTGCAGAAAAATGTGTTTAAAAATTGTGTATGGTCTCTTGTTCTTGTTCCAAGTTACCTTCCTATCCACTGATTTTTGCCTCTCACAAAAGCCACAAAGCCTTCCAAGAAGACAGTAAAGGCTTATGTCATGCTTGAGCTTTAGTTAGGCTGAAACTTGAAAGTTAAGTTGCACGACATAAATGCAATGTTTAGGTATTATTATTATTTTTATTACTATTATTTTTATTTATGCCTTAGTTTTAGTTTGTACTGTTTACCTTTTTTAAAGTAATGTGAATTGATTTTTGTAACTTTATTTATTTATTTTTTATATATTTGTATTTGCATTTTGAATGCAATTTGGCAATTAAATACATTAAATGGGTTTAGTTTTCACGGTTATTAATGTATGCAATTTAATCAGTACAAATGTTAATTTTTCTAAAAAGAAAACAAATTAATTGTTTATTTTAAGAGATCTATCTTATCTCTTGCATATTTAGTATTGCTCTTTAATTTAAAAAAATTACTTATCCGATTAATCGATGGAATAATCTGTAGAATACTCAATTACTAAAATAATCGATAGCTACAGCCCTAGTTTGGACTCATTCTGACAGCACCCGTTCACTGCAGAGGGTCCACTGGTGAGCAAGTGATCTAATGCTACATTTCTCCAAATCTGATGATGAAACAAACTCATCTACATCTTGGATGGTCTTTGCGAGTCTTCATGTGCACTGAGTATTGCTTTATTATTATTATTATTGCAGATGAGCTGGACTCTTTGGCCATAAAGGTCTTCTGACCTGCGGGAGGCCCGAGCTTTGAAGAGCACTCCCAAAGATTATTCCACACAGCATTAACCTTTCTGCAGCTCTGATCTGGGCTTGGACTAGGCACACACAAGCCGAGCACTTCAGCTGCGCACACACCTTTGAATTTCACAATACAGGACAGTGGAACACATGCTTATGCAAAGATAGCATCTCACAGAGTACTGAGGCGTTACTGATTCGGGCTGGTTGTGGTTTTTATTGGATTACTGGGTGTCGAATGTCTTTTGTGATTTAATGAACAGGTAAAGGTATAAAGCTTCTGTTCCTGTGATTGATGGAAACCCAATGCAAAACTGCTTTTTATGAGCAAGTAAAAAGTTGTGCAGCACTTTTCAAACTGGTTTCTCAGGGATGCAAAACATTCTGAGAAAAATTTTACAGAAAAAAAGTATTTTAGAAAATGTATTTTGGGGCTGTCATTGTAAACCTCCACTTAAATATTGATTTATTTATTTTTTTATGTTCAGCAAATTTGATATGACTATTTAACCAATCAGAAGTCATTAAAATAAATTGTTATTTGATGATTCATTATTAATGGTTTTAGTAGCAAAATAAAGTGTCTCAGATACACTGTTAACTTTTTTTTAAATGAATCTAAAGATTACTTTCCCAGTGGATCTATTGATTATTTTCAAATTAGTTGATTAATCCTTTGGTTAACTCATTATACCATTGTTTGATGCTCATTTTCAGCAAGCCCGGGAGCTGCCTTTATTGGGAATGAATGATAACAATATGATGCATAATTCCATGCACATTGTTGCATTTACGCAATCAACATCATATCGATCGACATATTTTCCAGAGAATATTTTTAGATAGTACACCTAAAAATAAAAATTAAGCCATTTGTACTCAACCTGATGTTGTTCTAATGACCTTCTTTCTTTTTTTAGACCGCAAAACAAGTTTTGCTAAAAATGTCCTGCTTGTACCCGTCCATATAATGGCAGTAAAGCGCAAAAGTATCTTTTTGGGGTACACATATACTCAAAATGGTGAAATTCCTGAGCAAGCCGGAGTGAACTTGTGCTCATGAACAGACCGACCCATTGACCAAAGTCAGGATTTTCTGATTTTAATATTGTATTTAATTTAAATTTTGACTTGTTTTTCAGCAAAACCATATGCCTTCAGAACACTTGGAGAATACTGTGAAAGAATACTTTTTCATTAATGCTTGAAGCTGGATTCTATGCACTGCCATTATGTGGATGAGCACTAGCAGGACATTTCTCATTTAGTGGTGTGAAAAAGAAATGTCATATGCCATTAGAACAACAAATAATGACTGACTTTTCATTTTTGGGTGGACTATCACTTAAACAATTTTCTTTAGTATGATGACAATATAAAACCCAGCTGTATTATTTTGGAATCAGATGGGTCCAGTTATGTTTTTGATAAAAAAAAAAATTTAAAAAAAGAAACGGCTTGGCTTTTTCCCACATCCTCAAAATGGATCTAATGCATTCTTATCAATGAAACGCTCCCAAACTTTTCCTAGTGTAAAAGCACCCTATGTAATTTTTCTTCCAGTGTGGTTAATAAGTTCCCGCAAATCCTCCAGTAAAGAATCATCTGATGCATCGCCGAAAAAGATATGAGATTTAATTGCACTTAATTGCCTGAAGTGGCTGACCATTGACGGCCTGATGCTGCTTTTTCCTGAAAGTGCTTGTGGTACAAGCATACAGGAAGGAACTGAATGTTTATTAGCTAGTGGCTCACACATTTGCGTCATTGAGGGAAGCTCATACCTTTCTCACATCTGAAAACTGAACGCAACTTTTGTCTGCAAGTCATTCCCAGCATTATACATCTTAACTGTAACCGTTTGCTTTGTTTAACAGCCAAAGGATGTGAATCCTGGCGACCCGTCTGTGTACAACAGCTCTAGCCGAGCCGAGAGAAAGAGTGCAGTTCAAACAGGCATGAGGCTGTTGGCCTCCTCGCCACACCGACTACAACAAACACGTGTCGTGCCAATGGAGTTTTAACCCCTGCAGGAGTGCAGACTGCTTGGTCCACCGAGGCTGGTGAAGAAACACAGGTATGTATGAGCACATGCAGATATAACCGCCCCTCCCTTTGGTTCGACGCCAGAACTGTCCTCGAATAACGAACAAAATACTAGAGTGAGAGAAAGCGAGCGAGAGACTGAGGGTCCCATGTGCCATTGGGCAGCGGGGCTTTCGCCATGAGCAGTACTCTGGGCAAAGATAAAGACTCTAAGGAGAGGGAACCCAAAGCTGAAGGGAAATCCAAAACCAAAGGGAAAGATGCCAAAGACGGGAAGAAAGACACAAGTGGCGCTTCGCCCGCGGTGACCTTCACTTTGGACAGCACGATAAAGCGACCCAACCCACCGCCCAGCACGCGCAAAAAATCCAGCAATGCAGAGGTCTTCAAGGATCTGAACAAGTGCCGTGAAGAGAACTCGATGCGCCTGGACCTGTCCAAGAGATCCATCCATCTGTTGCCCTCTTCCATCAAGGAGCTGACCCAGCTGACTGAGCTCTACCTGTACAGTAACAAGCTGCAAAGCCTGCCAGCCGAGGTGGGATGCCTGTCGGGGCTGGTGACGCTGGCGCTCAGCGAGAACTCTCTCACCAGCCTGCCCGACTCGCTGGACAACCTGAAGAAGTTGCGTATGCTCGACCTGCGGCATAACAAGCTGCGGGAGATCCCAGCCGTGGTCTACCGCGTCACCTCCCTCACCACGCTCTACCTGCGCTTTAATCGGATCACCACCGTGGAGAAGGACATCAAGAATCTGTCCAAACTCACCATGCTCAGCATCCGAGAGAACAAGATTAAACAGCTACCCGCAGAGATCGGTGAGTGAGCTGCTACTTATAACTATTCCTTTGAACTGTTCCTAATGTCTGTGAAAGAAGTTTTTTTTTTAAATATTAAAAATATATATATATATAGTACTGGTCCATATTGGACATTACAGTTTGCCGTACAGCTGTGCATGCTCATTTTCATTATCTTTACATTTGGCATCATCTAGCAGTCACTTAAAGTTAAACTGACCCATTTTTACATATTTAACATATTTTGATAACAGTTTAATGTAATTAAAATCTCAGAATGAATGATTAGCAAATGTCAAAATGAATATCTGTATCATATATCTTATCAGTTTCCTGCTTCCCATATATGCGCTGCTCTGGGTTTTTACAAAATGATTGACAGGCAAAAGGACCCTCAGTCTTCTGATTGGTTAACAAATCTGGCCATATCTCATTTATAAATGAGTATCATTACACAAAATCTCTTGTATCATATTTGTGTATGAAAGATCAGTGTTCATTTGCGAGGATTCTGCCGGCTTGTGTTATAGGTGAGCTCTGTAACTTGATTACGCTGGATGTAGCCCACAACCAGCTGGAGCACCTTCCTAAAGAGATTGGCAATTGCACTCAGATCACCAACCTTGACCTGCAGCACAACGAACTTCTTGACCTACCTGAGACTATAGGTGAATCTAATCTTTATTGACAGAAGCAAAACATTTTACTAAACAGCTCTGCTGTTGGTTATTTGTTGATTTGGTGAGAGTTAATTTGTACTTTATAATTCTGTATAATCTCATCAGTGGAGAAAGTATGCGTAGATGTAAATTAGATTAAATCAACAGTTTACAGATTTGAATCAAAAACTATGTTGATTTACTGCTTTAGGTAACTTGTCAAGTATAAACCGTCTGGGTCTGAGGTACAACCGTCTATCAGCGATCCCTCGATCTTTATCGAAGTGCCGAGAGCTGGAGGAGCTCAACCTTGAAAACAACAACATCTCAGTGTTACCAGAGGTGAGGCTTAGTTCAGCTCATTACAGCTTTTAATAATTAGCAGTTTTAAATAATTTCAATTGTCCCCTTTTGTAAATATTATGTTGGTCCTTGTCTGTTTCTCGTCAGGGTCTTCTCTCCAGTCTGGTGAACCTGACGAGTCTGACGCTGGCACGAAACTGTTTCCAGTCTTACCCAGTGGGCGGCCCATCCCAGTTCTCCACCATCTACTCACTCAACATGGAGCACAACCGTATCAACAAGATCCCTTTCGGCATCTTCTCCCGAGCCAAAGTGCTCAGCAAGCTCAATATGAAGGTGAGAGCGCATCCACTCAATCACTGCTGAAGATATGTAGGTAACAAACTTGCCCTGAAGGAGACATAACTAGAGACCTGAATTTGGCAGAGGGTTGTTGGTGTTTTTTTGTTTTTTTTACACCTGGACCAATAAGCAGCCACCCTAGCATCGTTGTGGCTAGTTTTGCATGGCCAAACAAAAAATTATAATACCATTCCGTACTTTTTTGAAACTATGTTTACAGGACAACCAGTTAACGTCTCTTCCGCTGGATTTTGGGACGTGGACCAGTATGGTAGAGCTGAACCTGGCAACAAACCAGCTTACCAAGATTCCAGAGGATATCTGTGGACTTGTGTCTTTAGAGGTGACACTCTTCTGTATTTTACCATCACTCGGGTTCATGACAGCAAACTCATTTTTGTCATGTAGTTGGGCTTGTGTTTTGGCTCATCGTTTTCCTTTGGTACCTTCAGGTCCTCATATTGTCCAACAATCTCTTGAAGAAGTTGCCTCATGGGATAGGAAACTTACGGAAACTGCGAGAGCTTGACCTGGAGGAGAACAAACTGGAGTCCCTCCCAAATGAGATAGCTTACCTTAAGGATCTGCAGGTAGAACATTTTCTTACATTTTCTAAATTGTATAGATGCTGTTATAGTGGTTAGTGTGAAACTCATTTCTGGCATTTCTTTGCAGAAACTTGTGTTGACCAATAATCAGCTGACCACTTTGCCAAGAGGAATCGGTCACCTGACCAACCTGACATACCTGGGCTTGGGAGAGAACCTGCTGCAGCACCTACCTGAGGAGATTGGTACGAGCTCACCGCTGCCCTCAAACGCACACGGCCACACACATTCATACGCAGCTCGCTTACGGCCTTCCTCTCTCCAACCCACAGGTACACTGGAGAACCTGGAGGACCTGTACCTGAACGACAACCCTAACCTGCACAGTCTGCCGTTCGAGCTGGCGCTGTGCAGTAAGCTGTCCATCATGAGCATAGAGAACTGCCCCCTCAGCCACCTCCCGCCGCAGATCGTCGCCGGAGGCCCGTCCTTTATCATCCAGTTCCTCAAGATGCAGGGTCCCTACCGCGCCATGGTCTGAGATGGCTCTCACACTGTACAAAGAGGAAACCGAATCGCCACACGACGTTACCTTCGTCGTCATTATATCTAGGACAGGAAACTGCGTAACTGGGTTCCTATTGGTGGAGGAATCGTAGCCAGTTAGATCCCCTTTACCCCAGTAGAAAACAATGTCTAGACTTCAGTTGCCAAAATTAATGTACATTAGTGATTCTGAAGAGGCGCTCTTAAAATGTTTCAGTCATTTTGCCAATTTATTGAAAGTCATTATAGGGGTTTCGTCGCCAGGAAACAGTTGTATGCAAAAACAAAACAATTCATTTTTGCTGCTGCCGCCATACTGTATGTGAGTTTTTTTTGTTTTGTTTTTGTCATCCCACAACCAAAAGATTTTTATTGTACAGAGGAGCTGTTTTGGAAGCAGTGAACAAATTTTAGTTCTTTTTGTATTATTATTATTCTAGAATTGTGCCTATTCAGTGCAGTTGGGTGGTTTGTGTCTGAACATTATTATCCAAGACGTTTTTAATACAAAAAGGATGAATTTACAAAAGTATAATTTATTCCGTAATTCCTTTTCATTTTGTAATTATTGTCGATTATTTTGTCGCTCCCTTTTTTTAAATATTCATTCCTCTTCGCTGTCGGGACGTGTTGCTGCGCATGACGTTTTAAAATGATGAATCCACAATCTTTTTTTCCCTGTGAAATAGTGAAGTAACCGATGAATCAAATTGTTTTTTGATAGCAATCACGTCACGTCACTCAGAGGTGCAGGTCTGGTTTCGGCCGTCTCTGTTTTGGACGTGGGGTTTAGGATTGTTTACTTGTTTGCCATATCCACAGTGTTGCGCTCTGCTTGTGTCCTATCGGTGAAAGTCACATCTCCGTATCAGGTGCTGAACAGTGCTAGCAGTTAAAGGCCCGCGTTTACTGTGAGGAATGCCAAACGCCCATTCAACATCACTTCCCTCCTTTTTTTAAATTCTGCATTTGAAGGATTTTTTTGGTCAGTGTCATCGGACCGATTTAAACTTTTGCCTGTGATTTTCTGCTCTTTTAAATTCACAGAATATTAAACAATGGTTACCGGGTTTTTTTGTTTTTTTTGCACCATTTATCCCACACACACTCTTATGCTGCTGCTTTTAATGCACTTTGTATTGATATTTGGCATCCCCCTCAAGTAAAAGGGTTGCGACATTTCATGTTACCGATTAAACGTATGGAAGGGGGCATTTATTATTATTTCTGAAGTAGTTTCTTTTATTTTAATTCTCTATCATGTATATTTTATAACAATTAATGAAAAAAATTGCCTCAGCAAATTCAAACTATAACATTCTCTTAAGAACTTTTTTTTTTCCCCAAGGCTTTGACGCTTTTTCTCTTTATTAAATGTTTTGATTTAAACTTCTATCTGACTAGTTTGTGTTTCTATACATTTAAAAAGTCATATCAGTTTCAACTGGTGCAGATCATCAAAGTATTGCAATTAAAATCCCAAAATGTGTTCATTATACAAATTTGCTAACTTTTTTTTTTCACCTTTTCAAACAATGGAGTTGTTTCTTTCAAAATGGAATTTCTTTTGGTTTAGTATTATATCAAGCGACTGTAATTTTCCACCTCCACTTTAGTTTATCAAGCCAAATGTATTTTGTGTTGTGTCCACCTTGTTTCTTTTCTTTTTTTTTTTTACATTTCCTCTCGCTCTTTCCTTTGATTCATAAGGACATTGTGTACATTGGCAGCAGTGTAAAGGCTTCGGAGAGGCACTTCGCATTCGTGGAGCCATGAAAAGGACACAAATCGCTGCTTTTTTATCAGCCAGCAGAACCTGTTGCTGCTTATGGACCTCCTAGAAACGTAATGCTGTAAAAGAACCGGCCCGCGTGAGACGTTACGGGACTGGCTTCTCGGGCCGGTTCTACCAGCACAGATGTTCTGCTACAGATGAAATCCCTCTGGACCTGCTCGGTGCATATCTTGCACCTGATGCAGATGCTGAATAAAAACAAAAAAACGACAAAAATATAAACATTGTAAAAAGGGCTTTCTCTGTTCATGCTTAACTATACACCAGAGGCATTGCATTCCTGGTTTTGTATAAAAGCTTCCTTTTGTGTGCGTGTGAGGGAATAGTTAGATGTTAACAAAATGGAATTATTATGTGACAATAAATGCCTTTGAGTACTTCAAGTGAGACGTGCATTAGGGACGTGGCCTTGTGACGCGTTCTATTTAAGTTACTTTTTTTTTTTTTCCCCAGCATTTATATGCCATTTATGCAGGGGAATGGGGCTGGTTTTATGTAGGTTAACAGTATGATCGGCTTCGGATGAGAATGCATCACAAATCAGGAATGTAGTCAAAAAAGACAATAAATACATAATAATTGTACTTTTAATGGTGAATACTGACAGCGCGGTTATAATCAGCCGGGGTGGCAATTTTAATTTTGATCTTGTATTTTTCTGGTGAATCCTTATGATTGGAGTTTAAAGGGTATGGTTTATTTTTTTATATATATTGTCTGTGCATTTAGGGTAATAGAAATTGTATAAATGAAGTTAATTTTCCATGTTTTTATTATTATTTTTTTTTTAAACATAGGAATGTTACATGTTTCCTGCTTTTTTTCTTGCCTTGCTATGTATAGGACACAAGCATGTTTATTTTCTTTCTTTTTTCTTTCTTTTTTTTTTATTCATAATTGTCTGGTTGCATGGACAGGGCTGTAAAAAAAAAAAGTACACGATAAAAATGTTGCTCTTTCTTAACTGCAAAACGGTTTTTTTTTTTTTTTGGACCGTTCATAGGGTATCAAGTGCTGTGCAGATATGTCTAACGTACTTTTCTCTAGAAAAACAGCCTTAAAGGTGACTCTTGGTTTGTTTGTTTCTGACTCAGCCCGAGCGAGTAACAGGACCCTCTTCCATCAGATCAAGTCTTTGATTTGAGAAGCATTCTTCAAATAAATGTTCATTTGACTGCCTTATGAATGTCAAATGTCCTCCTCTCTCACCCGTCATACATTTTTAAATGATCAGTCCAGATCAATAATCAATCTGATCAACAATCCACTCAAATTGTTTCTGTCAGAGAGTATATAACTGTTATTTATTTGCCTGTTAAACTATATATCTATCTGTGATTCTGACTGTCCATCTCTATCTATCTGTCCGTCTATCTATCTGTCGGTCTCTGTCTGTCTGTCTATCTGTTTATCTATCTGTCAGGGATTCTGTCTGTCTGTCGTCTATCTGTCTGGGATTCTGTCTGTCTATCATCTATCTACGTCTGTCTGTCTGTCTGGGATTCTGTGTCTATTTCATCTGTCTGTCAGTCTATATGTCTGGCTGTCTGTCTATCATCTGTCTGTATCTGTCTGTCTATCATGTCTATCATCTGTCTGCATCTGTCTATCTGTCTGTCTATCATCTGTCTGTATCTGTCTATCTATGTCTGTCATGTCTATCATCTCTCTGTCTATCTGTCTTAGTAAAAATGTTTGAACACATGACTGAAATAGCTGAAGATCATGAAAATATTTTCCTCTAAATGTTTAAAATGGATTTTGTTGATATAATTTTTAGTACATAATTTAAATTAAAATGTAAATACTCTTAACTGATGAGTTTAAACTGATAGTGAAGGAAAAGCATCCCAAAAATGACCAGCATATACAGGTACATCTCAAAAAATTAGAATATCATGAAAAAGGTCAATATTTTTTGTCACTCATTTCAGAAAGTGAAACCCATATATTATATGGATTCATTACACAGAGTGAAATATTTCAAGCCTTTATTTCTTGAAATTTTGATTATGGCTTGCAGATAATGAAAACCCAAAATTCAGTGTCTCAGAAAATTAGAATATCACATAAGATCAAAAAAAAAAGGATATTTTAAACAGAAATGTCAGGCTTCTGAAAAGTATGTTCATTTCTATGCACTCAATACTTGGTTGGGCCTCCTTTTGCATGAATTACTGCATCAATGCGGCGTGGCATGGAGGCAATCAGCCTGTGGCACTGCTCAGGTGTAATGGAAGCCCAGGTTGCTTTGATAGCGGCCTTCAGCTCATCTGCATTGTTGGGTCTGGTGTCTCTCATCTTCCTCTTGACAATACCCCATAGACTCTCTATGGGTTTCAGGTCAGGCGAGTTTGCTGGCCAATCAAGCACAGTAACACCATGGTCATTGAACCAGCTTTTGGTACCTTTGGCAGTGTGGGCAGGTGCCAAGTCCTGCTGGAAAATGAAATCAGCATCTCCATAAAGCTTGTCAACAGAAGGAAGCATGAAGTGCTCTAAAATTTCCTGGTAGATGGCTGCGTTGACTGTGGACTTCAGAAAACACAGTGGACCAACACCAGCAGATGACATGTCAGCCCAAATCATCACTGACTGTGGAAACTTCACACTGGACTTCAAGCAACATGGTTTCTGTGCCTCTCCACTCTTCCTCCAGACTCTGGGACCTTGATTTCCAAATGAAATACAAAATTTACTTTCATCTGAAAAGAAGACGTTGGACCACTGAGTAACAGTCCAGTTCTTTTTCTCCACAGCCCAGGTAAGACGCTTCTGACGTTGTCTCTGGTTCAGGAGTGGCTTGACACGAGGAATGCGACATTTGTAGCCCATGTCTAGGATTCGTCTGTGCATAGTGGCTCTTGATGCGCTGACGCCAGCCTCAGTCCACTCCTTGTGAAGCTCCCCCAAATTCTTGAATGGATTTTGCCTGACAATCCTCTCAAGGCTGCGGTTATCCCTTTTGCTGGTGCACCTTTTCCTACCACACTTTTTCCTTCCACTCAACTTTCTATCAATATGCTTGGATACAGCACTTTGTGAACAACCAGCTACTTTAGCAATGAACTTTTGTGGCTTACCCTCCTTGTGGAGGGTGTCAATGACTGTCTTCTGGACATCTGTCAAGTCAGCAGTCTTCCCCATGATTGTGTAGCCTACTGACCCAGACTGAGACACCATTTAAAGGCTCAGGAAACCTTTGCAGGTGTTTTGAGGTAATTAGCTGATTAGGGTGTGACACCATGACTTTCCAATATTGAACTTTTTCACAATATTCTAATTTTCTGAGACACTGAATTTTGGGTTTTCATTATCTGTAAGCCATAATCATCAAAATTTCAAGAAATAAAGGCTTGAAATATTTCACTCTATGTGTAATGAATCTATATAATATATGGGTTTCACTTTCTGAAATGAGTGACAAAAAATATTGACCTTTTTCATGATATTCAAATTTTTTTAGATGTTCCTGTATGTGAACTCCTTCAATACTGCTTCAAATGCATCCCATGATGCACATTAAATAGTTTCTTTCACATTGCTCACATTTGTTCACTACATAAATCCCATCTATCATCTGCTCAATGTGTAAGTCGTCAGGGGTCAGCAACTCTGGCCCTCGAGATCCGCTTTCCTGCAGAGTTTCGCTTCAGCCCTGATCAAACACACCTGAACAAGCTCATCAAGCTCTTCACGATCGCTATAAAGCTACAGCCAGGTAATTTTGCTCGGGGTTAAAGCTAAAATCTGCAGGAAAGTGCATCTCAATGGCTAGTTTCCCGGCTCTGGTGCAGGTGTAAATACCGTGTGCTGATATTTCCGGAAGGTGTCGCTGTTTCATCGATCCTCGCTCTCGCAGAATGACTGAGCTGCACTGGTTACCTCTTTCTCATTCATCACCTCGCCTGGTACTTGAAAAACTATTTTGCAGTAAAGTTTTCAGTTATTATTAGGGTTCCCACGGTCATGGAAAGCCAGGAAATGTGAGGGGATCTTAAAAAGGTTGATTTTCAGCCCTGGAGACGTCCTAGAAATAAGACCCCAGTGAGTGCAAATCTTTTTACTCCGTTTAGTCAGCTCTAAAATGTTTCATTGAGTACATATTCCTAAAATTAGTTTGAAATTCAAATCAGTGTGTATATATAATGGCCTTTATGTATTAAATCATTATAAACTACTAGATTATTCAGTTGTAACTGTATAAAAATGATGTAGTTATTTTTAGGCCATGTTGTTACTCAAGTCGATAATTTATCAGCGATAAATAGTTGATTCTCTCTTGTTCAGGCAAACACTAAAACAAGTAGTTTAACTGATTTAAACCAGTCAGGCACCGGGACGTATAAAAGGGTGTTTTCAGTGGTTTCTGGACATGCTTTTGGCGTTCCCGCCGCGCCTCTCGAGTCTCGGCGGCTGCTAAGCAACGTGGAATCGGAGGCTGGCGGCCTGGCGCTTCGAGAAAGAGGGCGGGGCTCGCGCGCGGCACACGAGGGAGGTCATTTAGAACGCGTCTCTCCCGCACACACAGCAGGCTAATGTGATCGCCCCTCGGTTAGCTCCGTGCGCGCACAGCTGAGCTGAGCGCTGGTGATGAAGCGCTGTCTTCTCATGCTCCACCGAGGAGATGCGAGGAATTAATCATGCCGTTTTTCTCATGCTGAGCGACTTAGTTACACTCTGAGGAAGATTTCTTGGTTTCACAAGTTTGTGGGTCGTATCAGGCTTTTTTTCACTAAGGTAAGGTCCATTCCTGTCTTGCTTTTTGCTGTTAGTATAGTATTGTGGTATTTTTGAACAAAGTATGAGAAAGAAATCGATTATATTTTTGATATTATAACTTACCTTTGTTTCTAAAACCTTATTTTTTTCCTTATTTTTTAGATGCCAAAATGACAAAAAAAAGTATCTTTTGTCTTCAATAATACAGAAAAAAAATGAAGTGTCATCGACCAAAAACATAATTTCAGTTGTGAGAGGAAGAGATTGTGATTCTCAGCAATGAGGTGTGACAATTCGACCAATGGGACAGATACGCCATACACCCTGCTGGTGGCCCTTCCTATGAGCGTCCTGGTGGGGCTCCTCATCCTCCTCATTGTCTTTGGCAATGTGCTGGTGATCATCGCCGTGTTCACGAGCCGAGCTCTCCGGGCTCCTCAGAACCTGTTCCTGGTGTCGCTGGCCTCTGCTGACATATTGGTGGCCACTCTGGTGATGCCGTTCTCGTTGGCGAATGAGCTGATGGGCTGCTGGGCCTTTGGGCAGGTTTGGTGCGAAATCTACCTGGCCTTGGACGTTCTCTTCTGCACGGCCTCGATCACTCACCTGTGCGCCATCAGTCTGGACAGGTACTGGTCGATCACACAAGCCATCGAGTACAACCTCAAGCGCACACCGCAACGAATCAAGCGCATTATTTTTATAGTTTGGATCATCGCTGCCGTGATCTCCTTCCCGCCTCTTATTACCATGAAGAAGGAAGAGGGGAACACCTGCAAAATCAACGAAGAAAAATGGTACATTGTTTCCTCTTCCATCGGCTCGTTTTTCTTGCCTTGCATCATCATGGTCCTCGTGTACATCCGAATCTACCAGATCGCCAAGAAGAGAACCAGAGCGCCACCTGGGGACCGGAGGAAAAAGGAAGCGGGCAAGAAGGAGAACGATCCCCATGAGAAGCTCAATGGGAATCCGAACCCCAAACAGGACGACAAGGGCGAGATAAACGGCATGGACATGGAGGAATCGTCCTCCTCGGACCACAAGGTCTCCAACCCTTGCTCCCTCAAGAAGAAGAGCTCAAAAGGAAAGACTAAGCGGAGCCAAATCAAACCGGGGGACGGTGACAAGAGCGAGGTCCTCCAGACCACCAAGACCAGCAGGTGGAAGGGCCGTCAAAACCGGGAAAAGCGCTTCACGTTCGTCCTGGCGGTGGTCATAGGCGTGTTCGTCATCTGCTGGTTCCCGTTTTTCTTCACCTACACGTTGACGGCATTTTGCAAAAGCTGTGTGCCGGAAACTCTTTTCAAGTTCTTCTTCTGGTTCGGCTACTGCAACAGCTCCCTCAATCCCATTATATACACCATCTTCAATAATGACTTCCGAAGATCCTTCAAGAAGATCCTCTGCCGGAGAGATAACAGGAGAGTGGTGTGAATGGGTTGCTGTTTTTCTTTTCCCTTTTTTTCCTTTAGCCAGTGTAATATATCACCTGGTGTTTATGGGAAGTACTTGTGTACAGTAAGCCAACATGTTGTGTGTCGTTATACAACAAGTCTGAAGAGGAAAAAATAGACTCTTACATGCTTTGTACAAATGCAACAATGCATGATTATGCAATTACAGCACAATGCAGATTCGTCCATTTCTGAAGTGTATTGTTGTGTCGCTCTTGATATACAGGGAGTGGTGTAGTTTCGTAATTCTGGTATTTTGTCATCCGCCAACGTGGAGGGACATATTCAAAGACAATGCATCACAAACCATGCTGGATGTTGTTTAAAATGTGAAAAAAAAAAATGTTTTTAAGTGCCAAAGGACTACAAACTTGGCCTTCAAGCCTCATAATGTGCTGCAAAACTGTCAAACTATGCTGCAACGTGCATGTCGATGTGTTTATTTTCCCTGACATATTGTATAATTAATTGTGAAGGTGTTGATATTATTTGGTGGATTAATTGTATTTTTTTTATCCCTGCCAGTAACGGTTCATTTAAAATCTTGCTGTGGACCATTAAGCAAAAAGATGTTGAGCTTGTCTGACTGGAACCTGACAGGCCGGTGTCATGACAAATTTCTCCGGCTTCTGATGTACTTTATATCTGTCACCATAGATATAATGGATGGATCTTTAGTATCACAACACAAGGGATAGTTTCCGTCTGCGACTAATAAACTGTGTCAAACAGGCTGCTGGTTTAGCTTGCGAATTTGTAGAAATGCACAACAAAAGAGAGTTGAATATTCAACAAGATATCGAATGACTGACAACAGAGTTTCTCCATGTCAAGGTGAGGTCAGGCCTCTCGCTGTGCTGGTTTTTTTCCCCCCTCGGGACGCATGGAGTGACTGGAGATATCCAGTTGTAGAGAGATGGAGTAGGTGTCCAGTCCAATTGCTAAAATGGAAGAAAACAAAGGTCTTGAATGACATCTACAAACTACCTGTCACTGTGTGTTATTGCCATATCTGAAAAACCTATGTATGGCTATTACATAATATTGGTTTTCCGGTTGTGCTTTCAACGTGTTTAACCATTGAGGTCTGAAAAAAAATTAGCACATACAAAGAGAGAAAACACTCAAAAAAAAAAAAAAAGTACAGCCTTTTTTTTTTTGTCTGGTATCATTCTAGAAAGGCAACTGGATGATTTTTCTTATGAAAAGCAAAGCTTCACTTATGGGATCAGACTCTGGAAGAGTTAAAAGTATCTTCACAAAAGCAAAAATTGTGTTTACAGCAATGCGTTTACAATGGAAACAAAGTACTGACTGGGATAAATATCAAAATACACAGTTTTGAAAGTATAACCACAAAACTAAGCAATTTTAGACGGATCCCTGACTGACAGCATCAACTAACACCGTAGATTATTCTAGAAAAGACGCACCCGCTTAGAAAGTTTGTTTGATTGACATGCAAACTGACCAATCACGCGTTTATCTGATAATATTCCTTTAACTCCCTTATTTTGCACCTTAGAACTTCTCTAAACCTTAGATAATCACATGGAATTGCTCAATCTCCTCGACTTTCTCACATTTAATGAACAAACGAGAAAAGTTGCTGTTATCTGTCAGCGATTATATCGTCAATTTCAATTATTTTGCCCGTCTCTCGGTTCAGTTTGACTTTAATGTCTCAGCTGACCGTTCACCTCAGAAATCCGGTGGCTTAGTGCCTCACAATTATGTGATTTACGCATTTCATTTTTTCACCCCCCGAGCAAATTCAGGAATAGCATTTTACAAACCGCGGTGTAGTTCCCCAGTGGCAGCAATACATTTATATGCTGGAGAGAATGTGTTGAGACCTTCATAATTACAATGGATCATGATCATTTCATCTCATATATAATCATCATTAAATCGTCAAGACAGTGGGGTGATAATTACGAAGTTTAAAATAAGGTTTTTATTGCACGGACCTGTATCGCCGGTTTCCGAACCTTTTACGAACTGACATAAAAGTATTAAATGGGAACGTTAAAGATGTCGGGAGGGAGGAGGAGGTGCGTGGATCCTGCCGGCCGTCCTGAAGTGTGAGTGGGAGACCAGAGAGATGGCCGTGCGGTGATGAACAGGGACATTCAGTGGGAGTGCAGGGGGTTATACTGATGAGCTTCACTTCAGAAGTGTGAATGAGCGGGAGGAGGGTGTTTTGGTCAACTTTGAGAGAGAGAACTTGATAATTAATTACATCAGCGCAGGTGAGGGCTGTGAGGACAACCGCCGCCAGGTTTTTCAATAGCTAGTTTGTCAAAGACAGGGCTGTGAATAAAATCAATCAATCAAACAAACAAATATTTTATTATTATTTTAAAATTATAACAATAATAATTAATTTTATAATAACAGTAATAATAATAATAATTATTATTATCAGGGAAGGTTTATGCTTTATGCCACTCTTCAATGAACAGACCCCAATAAATCTGGACAAAACAGTGCTTATGTCTTTGAAATTATTGGTTCTTATTACTTTTGTGTACTTTTATGCTAATTTCCTTGGTTTTTATAAAAAAGAATCACAATAGTTATTATAATTTGATGTTTATAAAAAACAATAATCATAATCATTACAATATCAACATTAAATAATAATAATAATAATTATTATTAATTATCTTAAAAATACCTTTGTACAATTATCATCATAATAATATATTATACTATTTTTTACAACAACTATTATTATTATTGTTTTTTATCTTAAAATACCTTTGCACAATTATAATAATAATACATTATACAATAAAAAAAAAACACAGTAACAACATCTGTAAATCTGAACAAAAATCTGAAAATAAATAAATAAAAATAAATGTTATGCCTTAATAAAATCCTAAAATAATAAAATGAAAGAAAGAATAAAGTAAAAATAAAATAAAAAAGGAACGAACGAAAAAGAAAAAAGTTCAATAATAATACTAATTTAATATTATTAAATATATTATTATTACATTGCAATAATTATTATCACAATAATTATTACATAAGATTTAAATATAAATTGTAAAATATAATAATCAAAATAATAATCCATATTATTATTAAGAATAATAATCATAATTAAAAGAATTAAATTAAAAGAATTAAAAGAAGAAAGTCCATATATTGTATGCTAATTTCTTTCGTTTGTTGTTATTATTCAACATTAAGTATCATGTATAATAATAAAATATATTACTATTTTAATTTAAGATAATCATAATTAAATTTCAAATCATTAAAATTAAGATAATAAAAATAATATTATTGATATTATTAATTATCTAACAGTCATTCTGTTGTATTATATATATATATATATATATATATATATATATACAGTGGGTGCGGAAAGTATTCAGACCCCCTTAAATTTTTCACTCTTTGTTATATTGCAGCCATTTGCTAAAATCATTTAAGTTAATTTTTTTTCCTCA